ACTGGTTATTTACCCAAAAAAATAAAAAGACAGTAATTCAACAGGATACACGAACCTCTCTGTTTATAGCAGCATTATTTACAATTGCCAAACTATGAAAGCAGGTCACGTGTCCCTGGCTAGATGAATGGACAAAGAAGATGGGTTGTGTATATACAAAGGAATATTATTCAGTCATAAAAAAGAATAAAATCTTGACATTTGCAACAACATGGATAGAATGAGAGAGTATATTGTTAATTGAAATAAGTCAGTCAGAGAAATAAAAATACCATATGACTTTACTCACATGTGGGATTTAAGAAACAAAACAAATGAGCAGGGAAAAAAAGAGAAAGAGAGAAACAGACACTTACCTATTGAGAATAACCTGATGGTTTACCTGGTGAGTGGTGATCTGGGCAAAATGAAACTGCTGCTCTACCTTTCCTTTTCTTTTTTGTTTTCCTTTTTCTTTTTATTTTTCTTTCTTTCTTTTTTTTTTAAGTAGTCTCTAGGCCAATGTGGGGCTCAAATCACAACCTGGAGATCAAGAGTCACATGCTATACTGATTGACCTAGCCAGGTGCCCTCCATTTTACCCTTTTACTACTGTTATTCTCCATCTCTCTGATCCAGTGTGGTGCTTGTGCCTCACCTATAGGTTCTAGGGTTTTCCAGTGGCATTTTGTCTATGGATAGATTTTGTTGGTCTTTTTGTGAGAAAGACTAAAGTGAAATGACCTTTGTTAACAATCTTGATGATATCATCATCCATGAATACAGGATTTGCAATGAAAATCCATTTCAATTCTGATACTGGTGGTTTTTACCTTTTCTACTATTTTTATTTTTGTCCGTATTGCTGGTTTTTCACTTTTATTTTATATTTTATTGACTTTTTTAAGTGACTGAGTTTTGTTTCATTTGTTTTCTCTATTATTTTTCTTTTTTCAATTTCATTTGTTTCTGCTCTTATCTGTATGTTTCCCATTATTTTGTTTGCTTTGGACTTACTTCCTCTTCTATTTATAGTTTCTTTATGTAAGAACTTATTTTTTAATCAGCTTAGGAAGTTTTATCTTTTCTAATGCATTTTAGTTCTATAAATTTGCTTATCAGCACTGCTATAGCTGTATCTTACATTTTTTTTTAAAGTTTGTTTATTTATTTATTTATCTATTTATTTATCCAGAGAGATAGAGCACACAAGTGGGAGATGGGAAAAGGGGTGGGGGAGAATCCCAAGCAGGCTCCACACTGCCAGAGCAGAGTCCTTGAAATTTTGAGAGTTTTTTTTATAGGTAGGATTCCTTCTCTCTGTTACCTTAAAGCAATATTCCTTTCTTGCCTGTAAGTTCAAGCCTCTCTGAAACTTTGGTGTGAGACTGCAGACAACCAAGTTATAAAGTAGGGATGAGATAAGATGATCCACCCTCACTATATATCCATAATACCATTTTACATGGTAAACGGAGAACAGAAAATATATATACATGTATATACATGTATATATATAATATATATGTTATATATATATATATATACGTTATCCATTTACCATGTAAAATGGTGTATATATATGTGTGTGTGTGTGTGTGTGTGTACATATGTACCCATATGTATGTATGTATGTATGTATGTATGTATATACATACATACATATATATATTTTAATTGCTTTGCTGAAGTTTTCTATTTTTTTAATTTGTCTCAGAGACATTTGTAATTGCTTGTGGTAGCAGTTGCATTATAGCTATTTTAAAATCCTTTTCAGGTAATTTGAACATCTGCTTCATTTCAGTTTTTGTGTTTGGTTATCATCTTCTCATTCAAGTTGTGATTTTGCTCGTTCTTGATATCATGGAAATAATGAAGCATATTTAAGCAATCTATTTTAGAAGATATTCATCTTGTTTATATTTAGCACACAAGTCCTGGCATAATTCTGTGTTCCAATGACAGTGTAATTTTCAGAGACCTTGCTGTGGGATTTTGGTTTGCTTGGTTTCTCTGGTGTCACTAGTGTTTTTGTTTATCCCTGACAGAGCCACTTATTATTTCTGGATAGTGAAAGGGATTGCAGCTCGCAGCAAAATTGCTTCCTGGGCTTGGCAGCTTGCTATGTTGAGATTCCCCCTGCAGGTCCTTCCCAATGTCTAATTAGGAACGGGGAGTCTCTGACCAAAAGAGATGAATACCAGTTTCCCTGCCTATTTGATGTATGCAGGGCTCTTCCTCAATCCCCCTTTTTGTCTCCAGAGCCATCTGGGGTTGTCATTAGGATTCCTCGTTGATCTTGGTCTGTGTTCTGCTAGGTTGGATGTTGGAAAGATACCCAGTTGCTTTGTCATCCTGTTCTTTTCCACATTGCCATTTTCTTTCTATATTTTTCAGTCTTTCTATTGCCTCTTTCATTATTTACAGTGTTTATTTATCATTAAACACAGATGAGTTTGTGGCATCTCACCTGAAAAGTAAGCCCAATTTATATTTTTAAAACATCACTTTTCTGCATGGAGAATAAAATGTGAAGGGCTAGAGTAAATGAAAGGAGAGTAATAATGAGGCTACCACTCTAGTCCAGGTAAAAGATGATTGTTTTTTAGACTGAGGTGGTAGCAGTAAAGATACAAACAAGTGAATCAGTTATACCAATTTAGGAGGCAAACAGACAAGGCTCACCAATGTGATTACTTTGGGGATTTCTGGCTTGATCAACTGAACGAATTGAAGTGTCACTTAATTATCAAAAACATCTTCTACATCCCCACTGGGAGCAAAACCACCACAAAAAAAAATTATATATATATATATATGTATATATATAGGCTTCAGCTTAGTTTCCCCAATCTGTAGGAGGGTTACATCCTCAGAGGAAACTTATCCTCATTCCACCTACTTTTCTTTGTCTCTGATTCATGACCATGACCAAGGTAACATCCCAGTTGTGTGCAAATCATAGCTATTAATTGACTCGAGTCCTCAGTGCGCACTGGGTTTTCAATAACCTCCACATTTACCATAGACCAAAATTGTTTGCTTTTAAGTGCATTGATTTTGCAATGGCTTAAATACCCCACCATTTTATTTTATAACTAGCAATTTAAACCTTCCATCATCTCCTTCCCCCGTTATGTTTCTGAGATTTCCAGTAAAGCTCACCAGAAAGCCACTGACCACAGTAAAGCAAGATGAATAATAGGCTCAGGACCATGTTTTCTCTTCCAACCTTCAACATTATATGGCAACTGAATACTAGCCCTGTGGGTTTCTACATTTGATCTGTATAGGGGCACCTGGGTGGCGCAGTCGGTTAAGCGTCCGACTTCAGCCAGGTCACGATCTCACGGTCCGTGAGTTCGAGCCCCGCGTCAGGCTCTGGCCTGGTGGCTCGGAGCTTGGAGCCTGTTTCCGATTCTGTGTCTCCCTCTCTCTCTGCCCCTCCCCCGTTCATGCTCTGTCTCTCTCTGTCCCAAAAATAAATAAACGTTGATCTGTATAGGATACCTAATTAGGCAGAGAGATTGGCTGGGAAGACAAGAAAATTGCAGTTAATATGGATACAAAGGATGGAGATTGGTGGATGTTTCTATGATACACCAGGATAAAACAAGTATTTGGAGTCAAATAGATTGACATGAATCTTTGCTCAACTTCTAGTTGAATGCCCGTGGATAAAATTACTCTGATCATTTGTTTACTCAAATATAAAACAAAGTATCACTCTGATAAAGCTAAGGCGAGTTAAATGCAATCAGGTATTAGATGTTTTGTAAAGTGTAAACCAGTACATATTTCAGTTATTATCTTAATTCTGCTTCTAATGTTTTCTTTTCTTCATTTCCCATGTGAAATGGTATTATGGATATATAGCGAGGGTGGATCATCCTATCTCATCCTTACTCTACATCTTGTTCATCTGTGGTCTCCCACCAAGTTTTCAGAGAGGCTTGAACTTACAGGCAACAAAGGAATATTGCTTTAAGATACCAGAAAGGAGTCTGCCCTATTTAAAAAAAACTCCAAAAATTGCAAGTAGACCTCTCATACGCCCAATTGCCAGAATCCACGAGATTGGTGCCCATCTCACCTTGCCCAGTGGATAGGTTTAAGCTTTGTCTCAGACTTCTGTTTCTCTCTGGAAAATTTTCTTAGAATTCAAAAGTGTTTTGGCACCTATGTGTTACAAGATGGTACCCACCAGTCTGACTTAGTTTTTTTTTCCAAAACACAAACACATAGGCCCCACAAAAAGGATAGCTAGACCCATATTATACCCCCTCCCAGTGAGTGTTCTTTGTTTCAATCATGGTCACAGATTCCCAGAGGCCACAGAGATCATTAAAATCACCATGTTCACTCTTATAGTGTTCTAACAAGTACTTTAACATACAGTATTTTTTGCCTACAGTATGGAGTGGAAAACTGTGCCAGAAATTTTGAAGACTGACCTCCTGAGGTGATTCTGGCTCCAGAGGTTGTAGGTGCTCATAGCAATAATATTCCATCTACTTCTTTTCCAAAATAGTTTATTTCCAAGGAGAATCAAAATAAAATTTGGATCTTCAAATCCCACCCCACACATTCTCCATCATGCCCATGTTGTTAGCCCTTAGTTTAGATGTGGATTATCTTCACAGCTCACTTACCTAGGTTCTAAAAAAGCAATAAAAACCTAATCAATTGATTTTACCTTAGGTATCTACTTTGTAAGAAGAATAGGTTATTAGTAATTTCCAGATCTTCCAATTGTCAGTGGTTGATATAATCCAGCTGTTGAAATTTGTGATATAAGATAATATGGGATTTTCTTGCCCCAGCTTCCCAAGTGGAGAAAAAATAAAGAAAAAGAGAAGGTACATAATTTCCATGTAAATAAATAAGTGAAGAAATTCCCAGATGAGTTTATTTCCCTACTCTGCCTCTCTACCACTCATGTCCCTTTGACAGTGGAGTCAGTTACTAGAGCATGACCTGCTGGGACTGCATTCAAGATGTGCAGTTGCAGGACCCAACTGCTACTGTTTGAGGGACAGAAGCTTGAAGCTGTCATCCAGGATGGACCTCCTGTTGCGTCGTAGCTTTCTCTGTTGATACTGGTACCAGATCACACCACCAAGAGCTAGAGCAATGAGGAGGAGAATGATACTCATGGCAATTAAAAGAGAAGCCAGTATCTCAATATTCTTTACAGGGATCCGCATGCCCATCACTCTCACATTGCCTTCTCCAATGTTTCTGAGGATTGATGCTGAAATAGAACAAGAGAAAAATGGCACCCTGAGCTGGAGAGTACTCTTATGTGGTACCATTCGCGGTCAACTCTTGGGAAATAGGAAATAACTCCATCAACATAGGGCAGAGGAATTGCTCCTATCTCTAAAAACCAGCTGATGAATACAGGTTTATAGGTTACAAAGAATTTGTGTAACAGGAAGTCACTGCTAAGATAGCCCTTAGGAATCACTGTGTTCTTTACCCCCATGGAAAGAACTAAAACTGAGTAGAAAGGGCCCTGGTATATTTCTTCAAATATAAAAATGTTTGTGATGTAAAGCTAACAATAAAAAGAATTGGATTTGGTTTATATGTTTCCAGAGGATAGAATTGGGAACAATGAGTGGAATTTTCAAGGAGGCAGTTTGACTCAATCATCTAGCTTATAAATGCTCAATTTGACTATTTGTACCATGACAACAGCCTACCACTGTGCTGTCTTGTCTCTCAGCTCTTTGAGTCTTGATACACTGATGTCACATTGATCTTTCAAGGTGAAATAATATGATTGTTTTAGTTACTGACATACAAACTTTGGTGATCTCCAATTAACCTACACAGCAAAGCTATGAATCAAACTAGGCATTCCAACTCTCACAATCAGGCTCTAACTTACCATTTTGGTTTTATATTATACTCTTTAGCCACAGCAACTGATTCTTTGTTTCCAAGAACAGGTGACCCTCTTTCAGGCCACCCTTTCTCCCTCTTCACTTTTCTATACGCATATTAAATGTTACATTTGAGGTCAGTTAATGGTCCTTTCTTCTGTGTTCCCAAAGTATCTGTACTGTTTGTATTCTCATGATTTACTTGCTTGGGCCAAGTGAACTATCTCCTTCACTTTTGGACTTCAGTCTCCTTTTTTATAAAATGATGATAAGAACTATACTTAGGTCAGAGGTTTATTGTGATATTTAAATTAGCTAATATTTATAAAATATTTAGCATCGCATCTGGAAGATAGCAAATGAACAATAATTAATAGCTGTCGTTTTGCCCCTTTTTACAATGTATACCAGCAATGCAATTATTGTTTTTGTATCTCATTCCATTTATAGATGAAAATCTCCTGGATAGTAATATCTTACTTGTTTTTGTTTCCCTGGAACTCAGCACATGTTTGATAAATATATAAATGGATGAATGAACATTAATAAAGAAATAAGAAAAGATGAACTGTGAGTTAAAATGGACGCTGGAAACTTCATAGTTCTAAGTTTACATTCTACTACTTACTCCTCTTGTGATCTTGGACAAATTACTTTCCATTTCTCAATTTCTCATGTAGAAAATTTTTGGGCTTTATTAGACCAAGAGTTTACACTATCCCAACCTCACTTTTACTATTCCCAATCCCTCCAAAACATACCTTAGTCTCCTGGTTCACAGTTTATAAAATACTTGGGGAGATCATTAGGACTTTTCAAAACATAGCTGAAAAAAATCCCCATATTAAACTGATGGTCTGTAGCATCCCTTCTACTTCTCATAACTCTCTGAGACTTTCTCAGTCCATGTACAAATGGGATGGGGGAGAGTGAGGTAGGTAAGGCCCACTATTTGGACCTAGTTTAGGTAGGAAAATAATTTCTACTTTTGTGAATGGAAGAAATGGCTGGTTCCAAAGAGTCAACTATTTGGTATTCCATAGAAACAATAATAAAAAAGCTGATGTAGACTGTATGGTATTTATACTAGTTTCATACTGTCTCTGTGAATAATTTATGTCTGTGTTACAGCTCCTTCATGTCTAACCCAAAGAAACCTTGAATCCACACCCCCCCCCCTTCACACATTAGGTGAGAAGCTAAGATAGCAACTTTCAATTGGGGTGAGGCTGTTTTCCCTAATTTAAGATGTTGGGAATAGGGGACAGAGAGAATAAATATGCTGAGAAAAACTGAACCTTGGGTTCCTGACTTTTGAAGTATTACAGAAATTTCAGGGTGCTTCCTGCTAGTATTGTTGTCCATGTTTTGGTAGTGAATCTCATTTTCTAGAGGCACTACACCTCCCTCCAAGTACATACCACATATAACTACACAGTTTATGCATTATCCTTCCTACCTTTTCCAATCTCTTTGGTGATGGTGGTGATAGTGCTTACGTGTTCTGGTAGAAAAGAAAAAAAAAGAGGTTAGTTAGCGCTGTTATTCTTCCTACCAATCCACAGGTTTGCTGTGGGCATTGGCATTGGATAGAGGAATTTCTCTGTAGTATCCTAAGCAAAAAGAAGGTGTCTGGAATTAATTACCTTATGGTCAAAGTCATTATTGGCATACGTATTTGTTTGTTTTTTTTTTTTTAATTTTTTTTCAACGTTTTTTATTTATTTTTGGGACAGAGAGAGACAGAGCATGAACGGGGAGGGGCAGAGAGAGAGGGAGACACAGAATCGGAAACAGGCTCCAGGCTCCGAGCCATCGGCCCAGAGCCTGACGCAGGGCTTGAACTCACGGACCGCAAGATCGTGACCTGGCTGAAGTCGGACGCTTGTATTTGGTTTTGAGTAGTGACAAAAATATAAGCAAAAACATAGGCTTAGGAGTCCAAAAGGTAAGTCACCCCTATGCCATTATGTACATATTTATTGATATTTCCTACCCACATTCTTGTGTTCTTTGTCACCCTTTCCCACCCTCCCTTCAATAAATCTCTGCTCCTTGTCAAAACTACATCCCTACATATTCAAACCCTTTTGAGAACACTGTTTCCTCTTCTTGCTTAAATGAGGCTGAGCTTTTCTCTGAGGACTATGTTTCCTTTATATCCTCTCAATACTGCTTTTAGATAATTTTTCCTCCCTTTTTGGGGTAAATATCTATCTGTTTTGAAGATTATATTTTTCGGCTACAAAACTCACAACCACTTTTTGTTACTGTTACCCAGTAGTTCTTTTCATTCACGGAACTCTTTGCTACCTGACTCAGTCTTCCCATTCCTCCATTCCCACCATAGGTGTTGACCCATTCATCCTTCAAACTTCACAGTTTCCGTACCTTTTAATTCCAACAACTTTTATATCTACTCTAATTCTATTAACAATTCCCATGGCCACATTGAACTTGTTATTCAGAACTGCTCCATCTCAGAAATATAAAATCTAACAACAGCCTTCTCTTCCTTACATAGTTTAATGATACTTATTCCATTTAACCTGTTATCATCACCTCATAGAGATCTCTAGCTCCTGGATCCTTCCATTTTTTTCCCAAACTGTCAGCTTTATCATGCCTTTTTTTGTTTACCCCATTCCTGGTCTAGCTAGACTCTATGGTCTATCACTTCAACTACTGACTTACCAGGAGCATTATAATTGACTGATGAAACCACAGTGAGTATGATTTCTCTGTGTTTTGTCTGGTATGCTGAATGTTGGTGTATAAAAATCATGTAATTGTAAAGATAAGTATTCTTTGTGTCAAACTTTAACTAAGCCCTCAATTTTTCCTGCCAATAAATTATTTTCTATCACTCAGAGTAAGCTTTGTTTTCCCATCTCCCAAAGTGGTTATTTCAAACCTTAGCCCACTCTCTTCAAGTTCCTTATCCTACTTTCTATCCTTCACTCTAAGCAGATGAATTCTCTCCCACAAATGAACAAATGAAGCAGAGACAAGGAAATAAATATTCTTTCTGTCAGACTCCTCACCCAAACTTATACAATGATCATTTACTTTTCTGTCTTCTCTTCTTTTAGTAAAAAAAAATCTATTCCAGTCTAATTTTTCATTTTATCTCTGGTTTTCATACCCTGTTTCCTCATCAGGAACGTTGTTTCAACAATTAGCCCTTTCTTCCCTGTCTACAACTATTCCCTCTGGTTGGCCAGGTAGCATATATGTGGTTGGAGCAATACTGAATTAGACTATCGTGAAGTATAAACAAACGATAAAAAGCAAATAAGTAGGCTTTGTAGGCTGGCTCATTGTCAGAGAGAGATATGAGTTATCTTTATTCATGGAAGTTCTTTGATGTTATATGTTGAGATAATTTTGTGAAATGGTCCAGATTTTGGATGACCCATTACTATACACAGGCAAAACCTGTTGTCTTGAACCTATAGCATCTTGATGACACATCAATTTATCACTTGACTTTGTTTCTAAGGGCTGACAAAACACAACAAAGAGTTTTGTGTACCTATCTGAGTAGTAAGGAATAGTACTATAGTAGTAAGTTGAAGACACATTTTAGCAGTATAGATTACTAGAGAACAAAGCTTTTCAAAGATACAGGTTATTATAATGGAAAATTTCTCTTTCCCTGGGGGTAAAGAGCAGAGTTGTATTCTCTACCCTGGTTTGCTAAGCTTTTTTAAAAGCCCAAAGACATTTTCAAACTTTGTATTTCTGCTTATAGAGTGCCAATGACCGAAAATCCTAGACACAGGTCAAGAGATTCCTAAACAATTAATGACCAAAAGACAAAATCCATAGCCAGCCAAAACTTTTATGTTCTTGGTGATGATCAAAAATTGACTGATAAAGAAACCAACCCAGCAATTCACTCTCCATATTAAAAAAGAAAAAAGGCAAAACCTTTTTGCACCCTTGGTAGCAACTCTTTCTGAGATAAGCCATAACTAAAGACCAATATGTCCATCTAGCTTTAGACATAGTTGTTCCAAGACAGAAAGAACTTTTTCACAAGCACCACAAAACAAATCAACAAATCAATTAAGGGGTGACTATTAGAACTATATTTATTTTTTAAAGAACTCATTAGCAAGATTTCTTGAAATAGTGAGTACTTCTAATGAATCCTAAAATAATAGATTTCTATTTAAATGAAATATATTTCAAAGGAAGCAAATCTATGCTAAGCAACAATGCATAGAGCCTAATGAGTTTCAGGCTGGGTCAACCCATGTGAAATCAACAAGTGTCAAAGTAATTAGGATGGGGAAGGAGCAAGGAAACAATGGAGAATGAGAAATATAGTTGGGAGAACACCTGAGTGTGGCATGCACTGTCTTAAGTCCTGGTTCTTCTGGGATCAGAAAGACAGGGGTAAGGAATTTCTTGGGATTATCTGGTTTCTGTAGACTACATAAAGTATTCAAAGATTTCCAATCTTGGGGGAAGTTATACCTTACCTCTTTGGGACAAGACAGTAAAAAGGGTCTCCATGCCAGCATGGACATGGTCAGAAACGTGGCAGTGCATCAGCCATGTCCCAGGGTTGCTGGCTACCATCTCCACAACCTCAAAGGTCCCTGGGAACAGATCTACAACATCTGCACGGTAGCTCTCTCCATTCTGCAAAAGAGATTGGGGTGGAGGAGAAGAAATGAAGGGTAAAGAGTTCATCTTAGAGCTTATAGGAGCTAAAAAAAAACTTGGATGTACAAATCAGGGACATGGGGCTCCAAGATTCATAGATCAGAGAGCAGCTTAACAAGTACAACTGATCTATCTCCTCTATAAATCTGCCCACACAAATTGAACCATCAGAGGAGACCCTATCTTCCTACTTTTCTTTAAAGTGTCCCAAAGGACACTTTGGGAGCTAAAATTAGTATCTCCATACTTTTCATCATGCTGACATCTGGGGGATTTGGCTTAATCCTTGACTCCTAGGAAGGAACTACTTATTTCCTTTAGAAATTTATCTCAATTTAGATTTCTCCTCTATGCTATCATCTTTATCACACTTCTATATCTGTAAATCTATATCAATGCCTTCAACTCCCTTTCCCTTCAACTGCCCCCTTTCCCTAAGGCTAAAACTTCTATTTCAAAACCTACATGTTGTTCCATGTAGCTTCTGAATTGAAGTTTCTTATAATGGATTAAGAACTTTCATAGATTCTGAGACATCACTATGAAATTTCTTGCTCTTAGGATCACTGTTTAATGGCACTCCAGTCCTTGACTGATGTTCAATTACTTCGGTTTCTTCAATCTACTTACACCACAAATGAGCTACTCACTTCTTCTTTTTTTCCTTTGAGCTACTCATTTCTTCTGTCAGAGGGGAAAGCCAAGGACTAGAGGGAAGTGACTAACCCTGGAGTACACAGCCAAACTAGAATTCCCAGTTCAATTCTCCATGTACAAGACCTCTCCTCTTTTAACTATTATCTTGTTCCTTAAGAAGCTATCCCTTTATTCCTTAATGACTGTCAAAGCATTCCTCTAATTGTTCCTGAGGTACTCAGCCCTTTGCCAGCTCACCCGATATAAGAAGCTCTCTGCATGGAAGTGGATAGTGTGTAGGTCAATATCTTGGCCCATGGCCAGCATGTACCATGCCACTCGTTCTCCTTGGTACATGGTAAGACCCCTGAGGTTGCTGTAGAGCTTTCCATTAATGGCTGTAAAAAAAAAAATGTCTCATATCTTTTGTTTTGATTTCCCATTGCCATTGCCTTAGGGCTAGTCCCTATCATGTTTGATGATAACAATATCTTCTTAATTTCTCTAATCTCTATAACATTTGCATTCCATAAGTCTATCTTACACATTGGTGTTATAAGAGTGGTATTTCTAAATATCTAATCTGACCATTTCTTTCTACTGCTTAAAATACTATAATAGATGCCTCATGCCTAAAAGATCAAGCTCCTTAGTTCAGCCAACGAGGTCCTTCACAATATAAGGCCAAACCACCTTCTCATATTCATTTCCCATTATCTAACACATTTTTTCCAATGAAGGTGATTTATTCACCATACCCAATATGGCCCCATATTCATGTTCTTTGTGTCCTTGCTCATGCTTCTGATATTTCCCCCTAGAAATCCTGCCTTCTTTTATTCATCTTTTCAAAGCCCAATCATAACTTTACCTTATCCAAGAACACTTCCTTGATCTAGTTCCTCTTATTAACTCTCTTTCCCTTCATTTACTTCTACTTCCGAACTCCTCCAGTACTGTCTGTACCATATTTGGAAGTCACCAAAACCTCCCTTATATACTTACCTATCTTTAAATTGGTGGAAGCTCACATCCCCAACTGGACTATAGGTTCCTAGTAAGCAGGAAATGAAAGTATATACTATACTAATATAGTTTCCTTATATTCTTCAGAGCACCCAGAAGACACCTGAGCCTACAATACATGTTAAATAAAAAGTACTTGCAATATTTTTGGAATTAATAATTATATTAATTGCATAGGCTTCATTATCTGTTTCTTCACAGGCCACATCCTATGCTCTAAAGACAACAAACTACCCATAGCCATGTTAATTCATATTGTCAGGACTATGCCCAGAGCACATTCCTGTGCCCCACATATTCTTATGGAGGGAAAGTCATTTTTACTCTACGTTTCAAGAGTGGAAATAATGGAAGGAACATTTATAACCTGTCATTTATTTACCTCAATCAAATTGTGAATTTGTAAAAAAGGAACTAAAGATGCTCAACTCTACCCTTTGTGAATCTTCTCTCTCTTGAATCAGTCTTGACATAGAAAATAATTCAAATTGATTTAATATTACATTGTAGAGAAGATTCTACTGCTGCAAAGGGGAGGCTATTGTTGTTTACCTATATCAATGTCAAGGTAGAAAATCTATTCCCTGCAGGAGGAGTATCAGCAAGCCCATTTAGCTTCAGAAATAAATTCAGTGTCCTTCTCAGGAACTAATTCTCAGGGGAACTAATTAGTTCTAATTAGTTCTTTCTCAGTAAGCCCATATTTGTTCATAAGCATCTCTTTTTTTTTTTCTCAATTGTTTCAAGAATCTGGAAGGGAAAGGAACGATATATTATTTGTTTTCCCTCAGAATATAACATTATATTTCTATCTTCAGTACCAGCATTTAGAAAGTGTTCAACAAATTCCTGATACATAAGTAGATGGATTGATGTCTGAGGAGTTTGGATGAATGAACATATAAACAAACAGATAGAAATGGGCATTAACCAAACAAATGGACACTAGCAAGTTGTAAATGTGCCCTAATTCCCTTTTTCCCCTGGGCAACTAATTTCTCTGATTTGTCAGAAGATACAAAGTTCACATTGTTCAGTTTGTGAATCTTCTATTTCAATGTGAATCATTTTTATCTCCAGCAAGGGGAAATAGCTAGAATCAATGCGACGAGATACTAATTTTGAGTTCCATTGGAAGCACTATCAAAGCTGCACCTTATCCTCACGTCAAAGAAATATTACACTAGAAAGGATGGTGAGAAATCACTTCACACATTTAAATGTATTTAAGTTCTCACTCTTATTTTAGATTTTCTTTTGTTTGTGAAATGCTACACAGATCTTTGAAACAAAGGAAGGCTTGGATGCACAATTTTCTTCCAAAATCCATTCAAGCATCAAAATCTCTTCATTGTATGTAATATAAATCCAGCATTATTTTCTCTGAGGTTCTTTCCTATTTGTAAATTGAAACTTTGTTGTGAAATTAGACTAAAAGACAAGCTGTCCTTCATTTGTCTATCTTGGAATCTATTGAGAAAGTACATTCTAGATGCAGGGGGGTAAAGAAATAAAATGATATTGAGAGACTAAACTCAGGATTTTGAAATAGAAGGACCCTAAACAACCAACCTACCAGGTACATTGAGAGTCACAAATTTCCATCTTTCTTTTCTAGTGTGTTAAAGTATGCTGGTGTCACTACAACAACTTTACAGAGTCAGCTTCTTGCTTTATGTGCACCTGATCTAATGCTGACTATTTATATATTTTGTGTATATAAATGTACAATAGTAGGAGACAGTTCTTTTAATTTGCCCACATACCACCTTCCTACTTTCCCATACTTTCAATTATGCTCCCTTAGGTAGTGATGGGCCTATCATATACCTCCATGAAACCAATGGGGAGTTCTTTGGAAGAAAGGTAGGTTATTTTCTACAGACCATGCATTTTGTTGCTCTCCAAAAAAGTCTCATTCTGTAGGTTAACACGGCCTGGCTCCTGGGCCCCATGGGTTGCTACATTTTCCTCTAGATACCAAGACTGGTTCTCATCAAAGATCAAGAATAACAAGGCAAATTCTCTGTCCATGTCACTCCGTCCTCCATAAGGCTCCAGGATGCCCTTTCGGCAGATGGTCAAGGGTCCAACAAGACCACTATACATGTCCTGAGGATGGGAGGAAGGGGAAGACAGTAAATCAAATGGAGTTGTTCCTGGGTAGCAGTGTTGTACATGGTGCCAGACTGACTTCTAAGTCAAGCCTACTGTACTCAGCACTTGATCATAATGTCTTACATTTATAAGCAACTCTAATATATTATCTGAATTCATCCTCACAATAATTTGAGATACAGATAAGAGGTACCTATGCAACCTATGTTTTAGCTAAGCTGGCCTATCCATTGATCTCCAAACTCACAAGGCACTTTCACAACCCAGTGCCTTTCCTTATGTTGTTTCTTCTTTGTATAATGCCTTCCCTCTGCCACATACCTTATCTTAAGGTATACTGCTACTTAGTATTCAAGGCTTAAAGTATGAAATACATGTACCTTTCATTGTGGTGCATTCTCCAGCTTCCCTTTAATCATCTCCTCCAACCAAAAGTGATCACTCTCTCATGGGCCCCTCACAGTACTATTATATGGGTTCTTTTATTATTTTTTAAAGTTTATTTGTTTATTTTGAGAGAGAGAAATAAAGAGCACATGAGCAGAGGAGAGGCAGAGAGAGGGAGAGAGAAAATCCCTAGCAGGCTCTGCACTGCCAGTGCAGAGCCCAATGTGGGGCTCAAACCCACTAACTGTGAGATCATGACCTGAGCTGAGGTCAAGGGCTGGGTGTTTATCCAACGGAGCCACCCAGGCACCCCTCTATTACATGTTTTTTTTTAAGGAGCTGTTAGTATTTTACTTATTTGTATATATAAAATATATATATTTACATATACATATAATATATATTTATATAAATAAATATATGTAAAAATAAATTTATATTATATTTAATTTATGTTATATTATATTGTTATTTATTATAATTATAATATATTTAATCATATATATATATATATATATATATATATATATATATGATTGAAGATGGGAACTGTATCTTACATTTTTATCATCCAAAGCACCAAATAAAATCCCTAAAATATAGTAGTCTCTCAATAAATTATTGCTGACAGATGGTTGTGAATGGTTGGATAGATAGATACACTCATTTTCCAGATGAGGAAATGGGGAGATAATGCCCTATCGAAATTCACTCCAAAAGCAATATTGAAACAAATTTTGGGACTAAAACTCCAATTGTTTGACAACCAATCCTAGGCTTTTTAAATGGGAACATACCTATAGGATTCAAAAGGAAAAAGAAAAGAAAAGAAACAAAGAAGAAAACCCTTAGGACAAAGATATGGTGCTACCTATTCCCTTCATCCCTCCTTCTGTCTTTAAAATAAGTACCACATTTGAGGAATTTTCCCCAAACTCTGGGCTGCATTATTTCAGGGTTGGGCTCTGCCCATTTATGAGACTCACCTCCAAGAAATCAATATTGTCTTTACCTTGATGGGATCCACTGCAGAATAATAGATCCAGGAAACACAAGCAGAATCATTAGGCCCTGGGCCAGATCTTTCTGGGATGTTCCATTGGTAAGTGAGAACCTCACCTAGGAAGGGTAACAGGGATCTCCAGTTGGGCCAAATCAACTTTTTCCCAACTCTCAGGTTTTCCAAGAGGCTATGGTGGATGAGCCTCGGGACTTTTAAGATCTTTTTCCATTATTTCCATACCAGTCTCCATTTTAGTTTTATGATATTGCTCTTCTAACTCCTGGGACACATTCAGCCTCTCTTCTATACCCCTATCTTTAAAAGTCCAGTTCCAATCCCCTGGTAAATCCACTCTGATATTGTTCTTTCATCTTATAATGTCTTCCCTCCTTCCTTTTTTAGCATGCTTTGTTCTCCTTTTCTTGCTGCTGCTTCTTATATTCAACTATTTTCCCAAGGCTGTCTCCAGTTCTCTTCTCGGTTTTTTTTTTTCATACTCTCTCTATGAACGCTTTTAGCTACCTTTCTGGTGTCAATTGTGAACTATGTATTGATGACTCTTAAACACTTAACCAGAACTCCCTTGCTAGCATTAAGCTCCAATCTGAAATTTTTAATTAGATACTGAGCATCTTTTAAAGATTGTCCTGACAACACATCAAAAACTAAAATTGTTCTGAATTCACTTACCTCCTTTGAAAAAAGAACCTATTACTCAATCTGTGCTCCCAGTATCTAGTAATGATAACAAAACCCTCCTACTTACCCACACACAACACTTTAGTTTTTGTCTTCTAACCTTTACACACTCCACATGCAACTAAATAGTGAGTTCTACTGATTGTATCTCTACAATATATTGTGTTGCCATGCTATCCTCCTTCCAATTCCCAAGAATATTGCCCTCATATAGACCTTTATTTTCTCAACCAGACTATTACAAAAACCCCTAACACGTTTCTCTGCCTCCAAGTTTCGTCCTCTCCAATCCTTCTTCCAACTGATGCCATATTACTTTTATAACATTTCTATTGAGATAGAATTTGTATACCATACAATTCAACCATTTAAAGGGTACAATTAAATGTTTTAGTATATTCACAGAATTTTGTAATATAACCACATCAATTTTAGAAAGATCACTACCTCTGAAATAAAATCTTCACTCTTTCGCCATCATCCCACTCACTCGAGCCTGGACAACCACTAATCTATATCTTTATAGAGTTGCCCATTTTGAGTATTTTATACAAATTGAGTATTTTATACAAATTCAGTTATATAGGATGAATGTCAGCAAATTAGCAGAGTAAGAAGGTCTCAATGCTCATTTCCTTCCACGATAACAACAAAAATAAGGAATAAGCAACTATATACTCACAAAAATATATCTGAGAGAGCTCCAGAATATATGAAATAATTATAACAACCCAGGGGGGCAAAAACCTGAACATGGCCATACAAAAAAGTATAGGAAGTATGTTACCTACCTTGTCCCAGTCTGGTGCAGCTGGTACCAAGAGGGAAAACTCATGGGGGAAAAGAACAGAAGGTGAACCCCAGCAGCCCTCACCACCAGGGAGTCTTTCTTGGCACTGACCCCAGTTGATGGTGATGCCTGGATCCCATGCTGCTCTGCCACTTCTATAAGGAATCATTACGACTTTGCCCCAACCCAAGAAGTTGTATCTTATCTGCATCCTCAAAGGAGCTGTCATTCCCTTGCTCCCCAAGAAGGATCTTCCACTGCACTGCCCCCTAAGGATCCACTATCCATCTTCTTTCCCCCAAGGAATCACAGGTTATTTGCTTCCAGTTCCGCAGTCATTTCTGTTGTATTTCATCAGAAAACGAGCTGCTACTAGTCTACTCCCTTAGAAGGAGACACCACCACTACATCCTCCCAAGAAGAAGCTGCTACCACTACATGCCTCACACCCAGAAAAAAAAGCAAACTGCTGCCCTTCTTCTCACTGTCCCCCTGAGATGCATCAGTGCTGAATTTCCCAGAAGGGCCCCTTGTTTCTTTGCCTAACCCCAGAAGGAGCCGCTAGGGCTCCACATTCCCCTCAAGAAGCTGCTTCATTCAACTTGCCACCCAAAGAGCCACATTCTGTTCTCTCATAAAGAGCTATTAACAACCTCAACCCGCAAGAGGGAGCCACTGATGTCCCCTCACCCCACAAGGAGCCAACACCTCTGTGTTCTCCAAGAGTAGGAACCACTAATACATTGATCCTCCATGTAAGGAGCTGCTGTTGCTGAGCCCTCCAAAGAGGTCAGCTCTGCAATGGTTAGAAGGAACCACTGATGCTTCGCTCCATCCAGAGGCAGCGGCCACCTTTCACTTTCTTGATGGTACACTTTGAAGCACAAAAGTTTTTGATTTCAAGGAAGTCCAAATATTTATTTATTTATTTATTATTTAGTCACTTGTGCTTTTAGTGTTATATTTAAGAAACTTTTCTAACTCAAGGTCACAAAGATTTACTGTTATGTTTTAAAAGTTTTGTAGCTTTAGCTCTTACATTTATGTGCTTGGTTCATTTTGAGTTAGTTTTTATATACGGTAAAAGGTAGGGGGTATGATTCCATTGTTTTGTATATAGATATTTAGTATGTTCCAGCATCATTTGTTGAAAAGACTATTATTTCTCCATTAATTAGTATTGGCACCATTTTTAAAAATTAATTTGCCATAAATATGAGGGTTTACCACACGGTCTTGATTATTGTAGCTTTTTATAGTAAATTTTGAAATTGGTATGTCTAAGTTCTCCAACTTCATTACTCTTTTTGAACATTGTTTTTGCTATATTATTTCAATCTTCCCAAACTTCTGTTTATTCATGTTATTCTTCTGTTCAAAATTTTAATGGCTCCCTTATACCCAAGTAATGAAGCTCAAACACTTCATCCAAACATCCAAGCCCTGATAACTCAGACCTAACCTACCTTTTAGCCTTAATTTTTACTCTTCCTACTTTTGCAAAATATACACTGGCAAAATTTAACTAATTGTATACTTTAGCATATCCCATACTTTCACATATCTGTGACTTTATCATGTTCTTCTCATTACCTAAACTATTCTCCAACCTCTACATTGAATTCTAGACTCCTTTATTCAATTTCCTATTTGATATTTACATTTGTCTAATTTTCATCTCAAACTAAACATATCCAAAGTACATCATTGACTTCTCGCTCAAATTTACTCCTCCTATCTCAGTAAATAGTGAAACCAGTTGTTGAAGCCAAAACTCAGGAGTTATTTTTTTAAATAGTGTTTATTTATTTTTGAGATGGAGAGAGACAGAGCATGAGTGACGATGGGCAGAGAGAGAGGGAGCCATAGAATCCAAAGCAGGCTCTGGGTTCTGAGCTGTCAGCACAGAGCCCAACGTGGGGCTCAAACTCATGAACCTGTGAGATCATGACCTGAGCTGAAGTCAGACGCTTAACCAACTGAGCCACCCAGGCGCCCCAGGAGTTATTTTTTATTCTTTTCCCCTATAGCTCATATTTATCAGCAAGTTATGAGGGATATACCTAAGAAATATATTCCCTACCCATCCACTTCTATTTGTCACCACTGTTAATACCCTAGTCTATGCCATCATGTTCTGTCACCTGAATAACCATAATAAACACCTAAATGGTCCCTCATAACACATGACCTACATAACAAGAAATGTAATCCTTTAAAATATAAATTGGACATGAGGCACCTGGGTGTCTCAGTCGGTTGAGCATCTGACTTCAGCTCAGGTTATGATCTCACAGTTTGTGGGTTTGAACCCCGTATCGGGCTCTGTGCTGACAGCTGAGAGCCTGGAGCCTGCTTCAGATTCTGTGACTCCCTCTCTCTCTGCTACTCTCCGTTCATGCTCTCTCTCTGTTTTTCAAAAATGAATAAACATTACAAAAAAAAAAAAGAATATTTCCTCAAAGCCATTGGTTTGAAAAACAAGAGGGCCTGAATTTTGTCAGTTCTGGCAGTCACCCAGGCTTAAAGCCTGGAGTTTGTTTTTTTTTTGTTTTTTTTTTTTCAATTTTTTTTTCAACGTTTATTTATTTTTGG